CTCTCCTCTATTCCTGTTGTGCTATGTGTCATTGTAACGTAATTTCATTTTGATGCAAATCCAAATGACAAATAAAGTCTGTCTAAGTCTATATATACAGATTACCATGAGATCTGGGGTTTTCCCTATAGCTCCTTTTTTTGTCAGTGACATTCCTTTTTTGACTTTAATTGAAATTAATTGAAAGTCTATGCTAAAAGTTTCAATTTCATCATCATTTTTTTTCTCTTTGTCTGCTCTGTACCGCTCTTTACTAGCTGTAGCAATTCTACATCATAGTTTTGTAATTCAGGATATTTTGTGTTTATTTTGTAAGGTTTTATAAGGACACATAAAGATAAAATATACTAGACTAGAAAATTCAAATTACAAAATATAAATATATCAGGGAGTTAGACAATCAACATTACTAAAACATATAAAATGAGGTTTGTGCACTATTAAGTCTAATGACATGCATCTAAAGTCTATTATGGATCAATTTAGGGGGTTCTGATATGAAACAACATGGACACTCCCTGTATAGTATGAAATTATGCATTATGCCCTGTGTATTCATTGTCTAAACTCTAAATTATGTTTTTGAAGTAGGTTTTTTTTATTGCCAGGGGGCTCCTGGTGATAACCTGTAGTATGTCTGTTTAAATTTAAATAATTTCCCCCTGGGAATTATTAAAGTATTCGATTCTGAATTCTGATTCTGATAACTAAAATCTGTAGAGGGTATTTGTTTTAAACTCTGCAACTTCCACTTCCCTCCCTAATCCACGCCAGGTCATTAAAGAAAAGTCTGACCACGTTAAAGTTGGCCAGTTGAATTTTAACCAGGGTCAAACTATGCTGCTACCCCCAGCAGAGGGGGCAGCAGGAAGGGGAGAAGGCAGGAGGAACAGCAGGAAGGGAGAAGGGTCTATAGTTGGCATGACCACAAAACAGTGAAGGCTCATAATGCTGTCTCACTCTGCAACCATAATTTGTGGTTTTGCCCTGCCAAATGCCTGAGAGATCGCTTTCAGCATATTTTCACAGCAACTGCTTTCTTTCTTTGTGTGTGTGTGGAAGGTGTTTACTCTGTAACAATTGTTCAGATTCTTGTAGATGCACACATTTAACTCAATCAGGTTTCAATATGAAATCTTGAATTTAGTGTAACAAAGCCCTCAGCATATCTTTCTCTTAATCATTCACACACAGTCTTTTGCAGATGTTGTTTGAACCCAAAGAACTTTGTTTAAACAACTAAGGAAGTAGGTTTTAGAGCAGNNAAAAAAAAAAAAATTAAATATTTTAATTATACTATTATTTCACAGAATAGAATAGACCCTACTGACAGAATGTATAAGAATGACTCTGGTCATAGGTTTTAGACTCTTCACTGTTAATCTGCCAATCTACAATAAAGACTCTAGATTGTACAAAAGACTGTAAATAGAGTTATGGAATAACTAAATCCCATCAGACGGGGATCCCTGAGGCTACATCTTGTCAAATACGTGTCCATGGCCTGATGTGTATCAGTTTGGGGGTCCTTAACACCAAAAAGGTTGAGAACAATGTTCTTAGTGCATATTGCCCAAACATACGCTACAAACTGGAGCCATGTGACAAAAAAGAAAACCTTGCTTATGAACCAAAAGTTTCATAAAGGCTCAGATGTTTTCAACATTTTACTTTCTTTTCTTTTAAACAATGAAGACCAGTGAGTTTTATCAAAATATGCACAGTACTGACAAGTTTGGAAAGTCACATATGCATAACAAAGTATTTCACTCTTCCCATTGTACTGTTCTTCTGATTATGTGAAGCAAATACATTTTCTAAATGCTCCTACTTAACTCAGAATCAAACAACTGTCATTCAAGTGTCAAATTACACTGGAACTGCTGAGCATCTTTCATTTTATGTGACTGACTTTCCTTTTAGGTTTTAACAGTATCAGTTGGACCAGCATGAATCACCATACAACTTAAATTAATGGAGAAAAAACAACAGCATAGCAGCATGCACTACTCTGTAATTTCTCAATGCAAAATATTACAACTGAGACCACAAAAATAGCTTTTTTGTAAAGGACAGTTTCACCAGTCAAGAAGTTAATTGTAGTTATAAATTATTTTGTTGGTCATCCATACAGCTGGGAAAAAACTAAAGTCAAACCATACATCTCCTCTTTCAGAGCACAGGTGCAGGTGTTGAGGTGTGACAACAGAGATCAGGGCAAACGTGCAATGAAACCTGTCAAATTCATATTAATTTTTATCTTCTACTCTAGCATTCACACATCTGGACTCAGACAATCCCTTTGCTGGAATATTACACCAGCAGGCTGAAAACCTTTGTAGATAAATTGACACTGTTGTCTTGACATTGACATTTTGATTTGAAATGAGATATATGAGGCAGAAATAATGCTCAATCAACAACTTTGTAATCTCAAAATTCAAAAATATAGTAGCTGACCTTTCTTTTTATTTTATGAGGATTTTACCTAGAATTTAAAAATGCAGACTTTATTGGGTTGACATTATGATAATACATTTGTAACGTACCATGTAGTGAGCCGAAGATACAATAAAGATCCTAAAGGCAGTGCTAAATCCACCTTTCCATGCTCCACAGGAAAACGCAGCAGTAATATCCATTTGAAGGACTCTCCTCCTTCCTCTTTTCTCCTTTTCGGCTTCATATCTCACTAGATACTGACAGTTGTGATGTGTGGATAGAGGGCTAGAAATAGGACAGTAGGGGGGTGTATATATCACACACACCCCCTCAAACACATGCACAAACTCACAAACAAACAAATTCTGATGGCACCGCTTGTGTACACGCAACAACTTTTTCCCAAACACACACACAAGCATGCGCACACACAGACACATGCGTGCGCTCTTTCTTTTTCTTTTTTTTATATCCTTTATTTGTGTTAAGTGTGTCCCCAGAACACCTATCCCCACCTATGCGCTATGACCCCATGAGGGGACTGCATCAGAAGGACTCTCAAATTTTCCCATTTACTGCAGGAAAAATATGCTTTTCGGAAATTTCTGGCCAATGTATAGGGACTACATTATCACCTGAGAGACATTATCCAAGTCGCTGAGTCAGTCATGCCCAAATCAAAGTAAATTTATGGCTGATGTTTGTGAATGGAGAAGGGCTGCCAAGGAGCCAAACAGGCTTTGCCGTAGGAAGTGGGTTAGGATCTCAGTAGGGGCCTTACTCCCCTCTGAGACGAGGCCTAGCAAGGATAAAAACGCTCAGTACGGGGCTTGGGAACGCTGATCTGGTGTGTGTGTGTGTGTGTTTGTGTGTGTGTGTGTGTGTGACAGAGACTGAGGGAGAGAATGTGTGTGTACGCATAAGAGAGTGTTATCTGCAGTTTTGTGAGCCATTACATTATATAAAGATAACTTATTTTGGATTTGGAGTTTGTGTATATGGTGTGTTGTTTCAAAAATCATAATAATCACGATAATAGGCTCACATTATGAAATGGCCCACGGGCAACCAATACACTGCTGTGTGAATTGTACAAAGGAGCTGGTTTGGGCTAAGCAGTGCTGGAACTCGGATGGACAGGCATGGGATGCCTCCCTCTGCGTCTCATGTACTGGATTATAGGTCGGGCAAAATCCCAAAGGAGGTGTGAAGCAGGAAACAAACCGAACATTATTACAACGACCAGCATCGTTGCCATGAGAGGATCCATGCTGGCTTCGTCCATTGGCAACAACTGCCACTGGGCACCCTACCCCACGCCTCTCACAGTAGGGGGCGCTACAGAGAGAGACAGGCTGGGGCAAAAGGATAAATGTGCACCAGTGTCGGCTGCCAATCACCTTTGTATGGTGATTGTCGGCAGTCTGAAAAGGTCGTTAAGGGGATTTACATAACATTTTGCACTCCGCCCCGGGTACATGCGGAAGTGTTTGATTCCATATTGAGTCATTACTGCGTGAAGATGGTTCTCATGTATTTTGACAGCACAGTTTATGGAAACAAAGGCAATGAGGTGATCTAGCTGAATGCCAGTGAAGCGTATGAAATGCATGGCAAACAATAAATATGGGCAACAAGGAAATGAAAGATGGTAAAGTTCTTAAGCCACGCCTCTTTTTCCAAAAACCTACTTGTGCTGTACAACTACTTTTCCATCCTTGATTCCACAAGTGATCTTTAACTGTGAGCAATTGTGCTACTGTGCAAATGATAATTCAAATACTGGTGCCCCTTTCGCTCCTCCAATGACAACTGGTCTAGTATATGTGGGAGCTGTTGGTGTTGATGGGACATGTTGTGGGACATCCGTGACAGATGGTTGAGACAAGCACTTCAAGGACGCACTTCCTCAGAAAGAACATGGGGGCCTCTGGCGTGGGACGGGGGGTGTTGAGAATGAGAATCGCTGGCTTGCAGGATGTGGATATACTGGCAAGGTGTAAGGGTACACATAGAACACGACGTTCATGCCAGGGAACTGGATTTCCTGGTAAAGGATGACTTGGTTGGACGTGAGGTTACCATGCTCTATTTCTTCAAGTTCTCAGCACCCTTTGAATGACTTACATTTAGGGCATTTCACCACCTTCTGTTAGCCCAAAGGACGTTTTGACTGGTGTGATATTTGAGGCTACGTTGGCTCCACTGTCTTTGAAACTTGCTTCAA